AATGCCGAGGTACGAAAAAATATATATAAGATTTTTAATGTCCGAGAATGCCAGAGTTTTGCTACTGCTTAATCTAAGTACTCCAATAAGCTCATAGAACTGAAATCCAAACCAAGGTACGAAATATTAGTTCGAAGTGCAGAACAAGTGATGGGCATGAGATTCGAGCTAATGAGTTAAAATGATAGCAACCTTGCTTCGAACCCAATGAAAACAACTCATAAAGCAACCAACTTTCTTTATGTTCTCTCCACTTAAAACTCGAATAAAACGCCACCGAGTAATAGCTTCGAAGTTTGAACAAAATCAAGAGGCGGACACAATGACACTTCCTTAAGAAAAAGCTCACCTTATTCTGCCGCTTAGGCTGGAAAGAGAAGATGAATCTGAGGAGATTAGGTATAGCATGTGGCCGCCCAAGCACCTTCTCGCGCACATCTGGGTCAACAATCAGATGAGCCAGAGCCCTTGCAGACTCCGACTGCGTCCCGCCATGATCCCCTCCATTCCGCGGCACGGCAACACTCTCCAACAGCCAATCCACTACCGCTCCGCCACCAGCTCCGACGATAGCAGACCGGCGGGCCCCCCCAGGCAATATCAGCCAGCAGCGCAGCTACGCGGAGCTCGAACCCTGATCGGACCTCCTGATTCGCCGACGACAGAACGGACGCCAACGATTTCCACAGAACCGTTGCGGCGGCTCCGGTTTGTACCATCCGGTCGAGCAAGCGGTGGCTTGCACCCTTGTACTTTTCTAGGTTTTGCTCCAGCTCTGCGTAGAGCTGGTTGATCCATGACTGCTTAAGGTCATCGGTCGATCGCGGAGTGTGGTGGAGATATGCCGCGACGGCAACCCCCGAAGTTAGGGCACCGGCTGCGGCGGCGGCATAGAAAGGAATGGATTTCGGGTGGAAAGAGAGGGATGAGGACGACGACAGGGAAGAAGCCGGGTGAAGGCGGTTGGGAGATAGCTTCGTGGATAGCGGGAGGTGGAGATCGAATATGGTCGATTGATTTAGCGTTGAGGTGGGAAGAGGATGAAGAAGAAATGCGCCGCCGCAACGCCGGCGGGGGCGGGAGGCGCGGCAGCTTTAAGAGGCGGAACATGGGTCGAGAAATTTCAGTTTGCCCTTCTTTTATGCTTTCTCATGGCGGTCTTCTCCTCTTCTTCCTTCCTTTCCAAACTTGTCTGCTTTTATTTCGATTTGGATATACTTTCGCTTATGGATGGTTCGTAGTTATATTTGGTGTGTTGATCGCATTAAGAGGACGAATTTCGCGGCTGGGCATTGTTTGCTTCGATTGATGTTCTATTTTATATTCATGAGTCCTTTATTTTTAGGATTTATATGTATCGTTAGCGAGGCTTTAAAAATCGGACATCAAATTGAGAAAAAAAAAAAAAAAAAACCCTTCAAGATTTACAACATTTCTAAATCATCTAATGATAGAACTAATAATTGAGAAAACCGTTAGAAGTTGAAAATGTTCAAAATTTAATGATACAACTAGAGTTTAACCAGATAATATAATAAATATTTAATATTTTTAATATAATTTTAATAATAAAATAATAATAAAGTAATATCATTTTTATTGATTCAATAAATAATATTTTTATTTATGATAATACTTTTGAATACTTCGAACAATATTCTAAATAACAAATTGAAGGCACGATATTTTTTATATTTTTAAATTAAACATATTATTTATAATCAGTTGATTAAACTCAAAATAGTAAAATTGAACAATGAAAGATTGACATATTTTTTAGAAATTGGGTCAGTTAACAGGTTCAACCCCGGTTATAATTGGTTCAATCTTGATTTTATATAGAAACTATTCTAAGCTCGGACAAAACAGACTTAATAATTTGTTGATGATTGAACTAATCGGTCTAGTCCAGTTTTTAAAACCATGCACTAAACTCTAATTTCTACCGAAAGTATAAATCAAAGGGAAAATAGAGGATTTTGGGAAAATACTAATGTTGCAAGGGTAACGGCCCAATTCCTTGCCCAAGGAGTACAAGGAGGAGGCTAGGAGCTGGTTTGATTAAGGCTAAAAGGTCTAAAGTACACTACAGACCGCTAGAGATCAACATCCTAAAGCTAGTACAGACGGTTTGGTTGATGGAGCTTGGGGTAGTCTCTAAGAAACTAGGGGGAGAGTTTGAGAGCTTCGCATAATCAAGTGGATTGAGAGAATGATATTAATTGGCTTCCGGTGAAGCTCATTGTGAGAAATTGAATAACCATCCTTCAGGCCATGAAAGAATTCCTAGAGCTGAAGAATGATGATCTTCCCCTCTCGGGCTTCCCAATAGGCTGCTTTGACAATTATTTTCTAACGAAGAAAAAGTTTCAAGGAGCATTCAACCGAGCAATACTATTAGTACATAAAAAGTTTCAAACCTCTTTTCCTCTTTCATGTTTTCTATATCATTAGTCATGCATTATAACTATGATTATCCTTAGATATCAATTTGCATTACTGAAAACTTCATTTTTTTTTGTAGTCCTTTTATAAGAAAAAATTGATTCAATTTTATTTCCCAAACTAGCTTGAAAGTCGGATGCCTGCAAAGAATACCCTTATAAGATACAAAATCAGCTATACAAAGGGATAAGTCTACATACTTAGAGACTAAAGACCACAAGATATCAACCTAAAAATACTAAAAAAAGATCATGTGACCTATAGAGTCACAGGCTAAGGATAGTCTGAACCTAATGAAAATAATTACGAGCCCCTTTTTTGTTGAGTTATAATTATAACAACTGTGTATCTTCCAATCATGAAGAAAAAGATAGATTTCTCGTAGAAGAATAGAATATTCATGAATGTTCTAAAGCGCTAGGGAAGGATTCCCCATTAAACGACCATAATGCTATGAGGAATAAAAGCTATATCATAAAAAACACTTCAACACTTCACCTCGTGTATATCAGGTCATACAAATGCAAAAAAGTGATATGGAAGCCCAAATAAAATTGTTATTTTCTCATTCTTTTCCCAATTATTTATCAAAGAGTTAAGAGAATCAGAGAATTAAATGTATTAATATAAATGATCATCATAGGCGTCCATATAAAATATTAGCAAGCCCAAATGAACATATACAATCCATCATTTTCCAAAAAAAAAAAAAAACAAAGACAAAGTTAACATATACCAGCTTAACATATACCAGCTGTTAGGTTAATCATGCAGATTGACTTATGAAACTCACCTGTCAAGTACTAGCTATCGAGCTGAATTCCCGAACTCACCTCTTGAGTACCAAATTTTGTATACTAGCTGTTGAGTCGAGCAGATGAGTATTAGTTGTCATGTACCAGCTACCAGATTGACCTGTCGAGTATTAGTCATGAATAAAGGAGGGACATATGCCTGACTCCGTATGACTGCAAGCTATATGATATTCATAGCACATCATTATGGCATCATTGGACTACATAGACATGCATCATGTTATTGTAGAATCATTTAATATTATTCCTTTGCAACCTTGCTGTTTTCCTGTGTTTTATAACCTTCGGTTCATTCGAGCACACTGACCGGATTATCATAGGTAATCTGACGCCTGCTGAGGTTTCTGTTTTGTGCCCTCCCCCTCAAAAGGGTAGTCAAGCACATCGAGTTATTCCTATTTTATTAACTCACATCGAGCCTTCCTCTTCTGCGAAGAAGAGTTTGGCACCTGATAGCGATGCATACAGTGTCGATTGTTCTATTCCAGGTTGTTGGTTCATTCCTCCATGTTTTCATAGATATCCTTGACTTCGACAATTGAATCTTCTCATGAAGGTGCTACCGTTAATTCGGTCCCTATCGCGGATCCGCATATGTTTCCATAGGTCCCTTTGAGGCTACTCCTGCTCCTAGGCTAAGTAGGAGGGCCCGAAAGACCAGGAATAGTTTGTTGCAAACCCAGTAGCAAGTTCCCTCTGATTAGGGCCCGCGTGGAGTCTTTGTTTCCTTGGATGAGAGATTTTTTTGTTATTCTTTCTGGTTGCATGGATCATGTCCCTGCCAAAAATAGGTAGGGGGCGCACACCAACTCAGAACACAAGTTTTCTTACGCCCGCTATTCAAGCTGACTGTTCTTCCACGAGTCTTCTGACGAAGATGATTGCTAGGGTAGTTTCTTCTATACAAGGAAAGGGTCCAATTTCTTGGTAGAAGATCTTGACTCGGATCTCAAAAACACCTGAGTAGGACATGGATCATCTCAAGTACATTCCTCACCCGAAACATACTCGCAATAGGAGACAGGGGTTCTCCTGCCAGTCCACTGCGAGACTAGGTTACTTACGCTCTTTGTTGTGAATCGTCGAGCCTGTCTAGGAGTCCAGAAAGGCTCCAAATATGGAGCTTGATGGGAATGTGTCAAAAATAGGTTTTGTTTCGTTCACTACTGCTTCTGTAGTGGCCAAAAGTAGCGGTGTCGGACCCATCCCTTGCTTTACCATCTTCATCTAACAGTAATAAAAAAAAAGTTTTATTTGTCTATTGTTCTCTTACTTTGAGTAAACATTATGTGCATATTATTTTTAGTACCAAGGAGAGATCCAAGGCGCACCACTATTGATACCCCTCTAATTTGTACTTGAGCGAGTGTTATCGCCTGCTCAAGAGGAATTGGGTCCAGAAGGATCTCACCGCCTTACCTCTTGTGGTTTCACCAGTTTAGAAAGCTACAGTTCTGATCCTGGAGCAAGTTGTCTCCTCAGTCAATCGTAGCTTGAACCTACCTCGGGTTAACCCCGAGGGTAAGTCTGAGTTTGACCTTTTAGGGGATATGTCTAGTGATCTTCCTGATGTTTTCGGTGACCTACTTGGTGAGGAATTGCATGATTTATGATAATAAATGACCATGACATGGTAGTGACCACTTGATGTCAAAGATCCACTTCTGATGACCCTGCACTTAAGCTCGATGTGGATGATCATCACAAGCTTGCTGTCGCTCAAGATGCCCTTACGATCGATCAAGGGGTCCTACTCCTAAGGAGAATATTGTCTTTCTACAGGACCAGGTAGTCATTCTCACTGCACATATCACTGCGTTAAAAGATGATCGGGTTGGGTTCGACGTAGTCTCACCTTCGACACAGGCAAGACATGTTTGGTGCCCAACGTACAGCCTGAACTTGTGAGACATGTACATGCCACTTCTTTTGATGCCACCCACCATGAGTAGGCACCTTCTAACTTGCACTTACAGTCCTTGGTAGACGCAAAAGTCAAGGCTACCTTAGCTGCTCAGCAAGGCGAGACTGTAGTTCGGAGAGGTAGACCTTACCTGATGCATATGAGTACATATCATACCCTCCGGTGTTCGTCCCTTCGTTTTTCAAGCAGTTTGATGGGTTTCAAAAGTCCCTTCAACATATTGCTCAATTTCTTGTGTTGTGTTACTACATTGGGAATAACGATGTTTTACTCCTTTGCCTCTTTGTTACTAGCATGACTGGATTTACTTTTGAGTGGTATGTTGACCTCCCTAACGACACATTCAGAATGTTCGTCGAACTAGAGGATGCGTTCTTAAAACGCTTTATTGGCGCTCATCATTCAGTCACTTTGACTGATTTGATATTGGACACCAAAATGCCAATGAATCTTTAGTAGATTTTGTTATATGTTAGCATAACTTGAGCATGAAGTGTGAGCCACTCCTTCGGGAGTAACATGCTCTCTCCCTTCTCATGGGCAAAATCAAGGGCTTAATTTATGTCTTGTTCAAGATTACTCCTATTAATACCTTCGAGGTATTGATAGAGAAGGTAACTAGTCTGTAGGATAGTGCAGTGTCTTCGGTTCTAAAGTCTGATGATGAAACCAAAGGAAAAAAAGCCTTTTTGGACCAGCCCTTCAAGAAGGACAAAAGAGAGATTAGTGTTAGCTGAAAAAATTTATCATGTCTGTCGAATAAGCTCACTCATCTTCTCAGAATGGAAAGGCCAAGCTTGTGAGTAGAAGAAGTTTAGGATATACTCTTTTAGAAGAGATTGTCAGGTTAATCAATAGTATTTTGATCTACTATTTAAATAAAAAATGTATTGTGACTCATGACCCGACCTCAAATATATTTGATTTTATCAACATTTAGCTCATAAGCTTTATAGATATTTCTGAGAATTGCAATAAATATATTTATTTGAGTTATTCACCTAAAATCAATAATTATTTGTGTTATCATAAAGTAAGATCCATGCTATGCCGATACACAAGCTTAAAAAGCTTGCTTGCATGATTGTACATACAAGATTGATCGTCTATACGGTATGCATGTGATATAATTTACTCGCATGTTTATGAAATTAATATTAGAAAATTGAGTATCATGCAATGGAAATGTCTTATTATCATCAAATCACCATTTTAATTTCTACCACAAACAAAATTTTGCACCATACAACTCACGTTATATTCTTATTTTTTATGAGCTAACTTCTCACATCTATAACAATTTCATCGATCTTGAAATTTCTTCTTTGATCAATATTTTCATTCTTTTTGGATTCATTCAAACTTGACATCTCTGGAAGCATCCAAATTGCCCATCAAAAAGTTAAAATTTGTTGATTGGTAACAAAGTTCTCCAATTGAGTCAAATTCAATCTCTTACAACAATCACATATGTGTGATAATCTTTATTCAAAGCAAGAATTAAAATTTTACTTAGGATAGTTTCTATGTCATCAATCGCATGATTCACATCCCACCCCATAGATCTTGACTAATTAAATATGATTTGAAGCAAGCATACCATTCATGTGTGGTTAATACTGTTTAACTTTAGATGCAAAATGGTAGCAGTCAACATCAAGATTATAAACATCAACCACAAACAAATCTACACCATTGAATACAAATCAATTGTTGGATCAAATAAAGCTGAAGTAAGAAAATAATAATAAACTTCTTGCTTTGTCATCATATTGAATAAGTCAAAGCTTAGGAACAACACAAAAAACAAATAGAAAATCAGACAAAAAAATATGATAAGGTAAGAATAACAAACAAATCTGTTGAAATAAATTTAAATTTATATCTAAATATGAAGATAATTTATAAAAAGGGCATTCATTTCATATTCTTCTTGCCGGCCATTTTGTCACTTGGTTCCTTAAAAAACGCATAGCAATATCCGCCACTTCTTTCCCTCAATCCGTTCGTCTCCAATGAGTCACTCCCAACTTCCCATAAAACAAATTGTATGGGATCATAAATCTTTATTTTGAAAGTATGTCTACTTAGTATAATTTTTTGTAAGATTTTTTTTGGTTAAAAATTAAATTAATTTATTTTTAAAATACTTAAAAAATATTTTGAGGGTATATAAAATAACTAATCATACTAAAACATATCAAATATATTTTAAAATATAAATAAAATTAATAAAAATTAAAAGTTTTATTTATGTGCAGTGACCGTACGTCCGGACAATTGTTCAGATGAGCCGTGGCATATAGACCAAGTCCAAACATATAATGATCTTAAAATATATATATGATTGAAAATACTCAAAATAACAAGAAAACTCCATTAACTCGCAGATTGCATTCAGCAAACTAAAAGGTCAAAGTTAACAGTACTACATAAAGATCAAAAATTTACTTCAACCCAGCAAAATTAGAATATAACATGAAGAACACAAATAGCTCTGGCGCCAATGATATTATTGTCTTAACAACTGAAAAGACTCTGTAGAGAGAGCAGAATTACAAGTCATTGAAGAAGTTGACAATCCGATCCATGAGCTCCACTGCCTTCAAGCTCCCAGGCTTAAAACCATGATCTTCATCCTCCAACTCCAAAAACTCCGCCTCCCCTTCCCACCCGCTCTCCTTCAGCTTCTCATAGTAAAGCCTCCCCCTATCCCTCAACAAATCCCGCTCCGCAACACCCACAAACACTCGCCGGCAGCCCAAAGTCGCCAGGCTCGGCGCACCCTCCGCCACCGGATTGATCCGCGGGTCGTCAAGCCCCGTTGTCTCCGGACACGCAAACGGCCACAGCTGATCGATATTCTCCGCTTTCAGGAATCTCTCCTTACCGCTCTCCGCCCCTTCGTCTCCAATTCTATCCTTCCCCCAAAACAGGGGAAACACCATCACCAGCCCCTCCACCTTCTTTCTCTCCCTCCCAAGCCTCATTCCCATGTTATGCACTATGTTCGCGCCCGAGCTTTCGCCGGATATGAATATTTTCTCCAAGTCGCCCAATTTCGACATCCACGGATCGATGGCGGCGAAAACCCACAGCAACACCTCCCAGCAGTCGTCGTAAGCGGCGGGGAGAGGGTTCTCCGGTGCGAGGCGGTAATTTATTGAGACAGAGAGAACGCCGGCTTTAGCGGTGAGGGAGTTCATGTAGTTATGGTAGATGGAAGAGGAAGAGTGCACGAGGCAGAAGCCGCCGCCGTGGATGGAGATAACGATAGGGAGCTTCTTGGGGATTGTGATGGCGGATAGTGGGAGGTAGAGGCGAGCGGAGAGGCCGGTGGTGGGGTTAATGGTGACGTCTTTGGATTGGACGCATGTTACTGGATCGGCGGAAGGGGGAACGAGCTCGTCGTGGAATAGTCGCTCCACGCGACCGCTCCGGTAAAGGCGGATGGCGCCGGGGAATTCGAACATGATGTCGTGGGTGTCAGTGTTGGGAGAGGAGGAGGAGGAGGTGGTGGAGGAGTTCATGGTGGCGCGGAAAGTTTGGGAGGAGGATTGGATTTCAGGGGATTGGGGGGTGGTAATAAAATAGATCATGTTTTTGAATGACATGAGAATATTTAATGAGTTATGAATATAATAATAGGTTATCTTTTCTTATCAGCTATGTTTTGAAATTGTTAATCTGATTTTTTTTCTAGATGGTATAAATATTAGTGTTTAATTCTTTTTGGAGTTTAAGACTATATTGTTGAATTCTAATATGTCAAGAAGTAAAGTGTTAAGAGAGAGAGAGAGAGAGAGAGAGAGAGAGAGAGAGAGAGAGAGAGAGAGAGAGAGAGAGAGAGAGAGAGGAGAACACTAGCACAATAACGAATAATAAATTTGTGTACAATAATGAATAGTAAATTTATGTACCCTTTATCTAAGATATGAATCCCCTATTTATATGAATGAGTCGTCTTTTAATTACATACTATACTCCTAAAACAAGTAAATACAGTGGTGGTATTTCAGTCAGTACATAAATTTGGCCCGTGGTGGTTGTTGATCTGAGTGAACCTCAAGTTGGGCAGCTGAGATACTGAGAGTTCGTTAACTGATCTGTCGTTGGTCTGGGCAGCCCTCAAGAGGAGACTACTTCAACATCAACTGCTTTGGAACTGGGGGATCCGTCTCACTTTCTCGATTTATTTGAGTTTGGAAATGACAAGTTTGTCCAAGCAGACCTGGTTAGATGGATTCTTGGGAAGTGATCTACCATTTATTCGTCTGAGGCCATCATCTTCCCGACACGTGGATTGGCCGGCTGAACACCTGGTCTTGGTTTTCTCTCGATAGGCCGCACGAGGCCACATCACGTCCTTCACCGTCCCTGATATGTCTTTGTGATTCATGCTGATATATTTTTTATGTACATATATATTTCCATGAGGCTCACACGATCCAAGTGTGACCTCAAGAAGAAAATTAATGGAAGAAAAATGATGTGTACCCTTAAATTCTCTAGGTTTCTTCTTTTGAAAGGGATTCATATAGAAGGCCTTTCTTTTTTCCTCTCTTCTCAAGAGTAAAATATGGGTGGATTGGGTGTATCTTAAGCTGTACTTAGGTGAGATATAAAACAAAAGAAATTAGCTTGGAATAAAGTTCAATTTAAATTTTAAATTGTTAAAAATTATGAAATACTTCCAACTTGATTTTCATAAAATAAACTCAAATTTTTATTTATATAATTATCAATGATAATAAATGCATATTGTTTATTATTAGTACTAGAAAGCGTGTTGAGTTTCCCTAATAAGAATTAGTTGCCATGGCCTCACCAATTTAGAAAGGAGGCTCATGCATCTTCTTACAATGGAAATCAATGCAAACAACCTCAACTTCACCCTATTTTGAAGAAATTTGCAATCAAATTCTTGCATCACCTCTCACTAAGAGATCTATAAATATAAAATTAATTATGTAAAATTTATTCTAAATCGTAAAAGATATTATTTTATCAAATTGAAATAAAATACCTCGCCTGTTATTGTTCAATTAAGGAACATAAATAAATTTTTATCTTCATATCATCAACTAATCAAAATATTATTAACAAGTAAAATCTAACTACCAAATATAAATCTCCCATACTTTTTATAATAGAGGCATTACATAAATATCACCCAAATTCTATGTATTTATAAAGCTAACACAAATTTTGCTTTTTATATCTATGCCACATAAATCCTTCATATTACACAAAAAAAAATATTATTATTTTAACTTCTAAAAATTGAAATGCATAATTTCATGCATACGTAAGATAACAAATACATAAAATTTGAATTTTGTGTGCTAGATATGTATGCACCTAAGAATTGATATATATATATATATA